GCACTGCAGATTGGCACGTTTCCTCTTGATCTTTGGATGAGAAATATTGTTCCTTTGGCATATCTCCATCTCTGGCTCTGCTTAGGCTCTGTTTTGTCTCTCTGCCTCAGCCATCTGAAGCCATAAGGGGAGCCTTGCCTTTGAAAATACCTAAATTATATAGTTGGAAGATTCTGCTGTTCCCTGGAGGATGTTGTTTCATTATGGGCACTACTGTTTCACTTAGCCCACAAACTGGTTTTCCATGTTTCTGTTATCACAATACTGTATGATTATAGTTCTTTAAATTGGCTTTGAGCAATCTTTTTTTTTTTTTATGAAATAGAACCTCTTCTCCATTAAAAGGGGATTACATCAGTTTATTTAAGCAGATGAGTGAGAATTGTACAATTTATCTGTAATACTAATCTCTTGACACAGAATTATGTTCACACAATCACTCTCTTTATTGAAATGCCCATCAGAGCAAGAGAAAATCAGGATCATAAAGCTGAGACTCTAATTCTGAGCTCAAAAGACATGAATTATTTTCATGCTCTGTCACAGGCTTCCACTGAGACCATGAACAAGTCATTTAAGTCATCAGCCTCAGGTTTCTCCCAGAATGGTACCCTAATTCCTCATGGCACTGATAAAGCAAAGTGGTGTCTCGGCTGCCTATGACAGTCACTCTGCTTTTTTTCTAATATTCCGCATGATAGATGTTATAAAGGCACAGCAGTCCAAAACAGTTTTTCAAAATAGAAACTCTAAATTGTACAATCTTCATAAAAGACATCTGAACGTATTACACAGTAGCTGCCATGAAATTTCCAGACATAATTCTAGGATAAAAGAACCAATAAAAATATTTGTATTGTGAAAGTCAAAGACACACTGTTCAGCATAAAAAATTAAATTATTAAAATTATTTAAAATCTCTACTGCTAGATACATGCACAAAGAGCACACTTACATATATGATTGTAGCTTTAAAATTTCACAATCTTTAAAATATACAGATATTGTTATTGCTTCAAAATATTTTCTTGAAAAGACAGACTAAGTCTCCATTGTGAAATTCTTTGGCTGCATGAAATCCTACCACTCTTCTCATGAACTGTGAACACAATTCTAAGCTCAGCAGGATTTCTTCTAAATCTGGGATTCCTCTTCCTTTGCATCAGATTGAGATGTAGAAATCAAGAAAAACTCAACAGCATATTTCTCCAAGCACAAAGTGAGACCTCACTTTGAAGTGGCAAGGGTGTAGGAAGTGGAAACATACTTGTTTGTTCTAAAGACAGATGGGTAAATGCTCATTTTGAGAAATCAGTGAAAAGCTCCCTTCTGCCACAGCAAGGAACCACCCACCCATACAGAGTTGCAAGGAAATTCTTTATCTACAGCAATTTAAATACTGGGATGAAAGCGTTTGAGGTATTGGCTCAACAGAAACTTAAATGCTTGAAAGAAATATTGGAACAATCTTAATATATGGGGGGAAATCCCCACTTTTTATTTCAGTAAACCAGTGACATCAGAAAAAAATGACAAATTAAAGCATCTTTGGACAAGGACAGGTTATTCAATGAGTATTTGGGGTTAGAATGACAAAACAAAAGTAAGACATGTCTAATAAAGCTAAATTCTTTAGACTAGAAGCCCACTGAAAACAGTCAGAACTTCTCTTGATTTCAGTGAACTTTCAATAAGCCTAATTAAGCTTAGTCTTTGAAAAGAGATTAAAATGTGAATGGCCAAGACTTCAGAGCCTCGCAAGACAAATGTTGGGATTTCAATCATGATTTCAGTTTTCAGTGAATCTTGTTAATTCCCTGTGTGTGGGAGCTATCAGTAGGAGAAAAAAGAGGGCATTTTAGAGAGATGATCCAGATCAGATGATTCAGAGAGATGTCATAACCTGAAAATCAGGACATAAACAGAACATTGAGAGATGTTCTATTTTACAGGAAACTAGTATTACTGAGAGTCAAGGATGAACTAGAAAATTTTCTATGAAAAAAATGCATTTCTGTTATGATTTATAGCTTCTATGAATAAATGGGACTATTCCAAAATTCAAATACCCTTATCACCAACCATTTTTCCTTGTATAACCCAAATCTCTCATGCTGTAATTTGAACCAAATGCCTATTCTCTGAGCATGCAAATCAAATACCCCCTTTCCTTTGAAGAAGTCTTGTATCACTTAGTATACTCTTAGTATTCTCTCTGCATAAAACACACATTACATTCTTTCAGCATTTCCTGTTGTTTCCTAGACCTCTGATCACTCACTGCTCCCTGTTTATCCCTCTCCACCTAGACCACATCCTTGAACTACCATGTCAAACAAGAGGACAAAGCTGTCCCGCCCAGAGCTTATTTCATATTGAAGTTGATAGAAAATACACCTTTTTGCAATAATATAACCCTGCTAATTCAATTTCAGCTTGATCATCTGCTATAACCCCAACATATATAAAACATATAATACTTCTATTGAAACATTTGCTCAAGGCATCATAAGGAGCAACTGTTATTTAAACTGTTTATTTAGAGAGAAGTCTCTTCTTTCATAGCAGTATTTCTTTTAGGTATGGTTCTGACTTTTGGGAAAGCATAAACAATTATCTCCAAGAGATTATTATTACTAAAGGACAAATGTTATTACTCTACTGAAACAAAGATTGCAAAAGTAGTTGGATAGGGCAAGAGTTTTCAGAAAAGCAGATTTCACAAAATATGGAGATGGCAAATAGACATTTTCTGAAAGAACTTGAAGGAGTGCAGGTAGGACTACAGAAAGGTTATTCTGTAGGCCAAACTATTAAACAGGAAAAGCCACACAGTAGGAGTAACAGACACAATTATGTCTGTACTGATAACTCTTTGGTAATTTGGACCAGTGAAGAATGAATCATACAAAAACCAAAAGCAAGGCTGAACATAAGAAACCAAGGACTCACCAATAAAAGCAAAAATGTGAGCAGATGTAATGTGTAAAGTGTTAGGCAAAAAAAGTTTTAGCAGTAAGAAGTAACTGGAAGACAAAGGGAATAGTGAGCATATTTTTGAGAAACAAAAGATGCTGAGCAAGTGAAAATACCTAGTAATGCCCTGTCCTGCTGAGATGTCCCAAAGAAATCTCAGTTCAAATTTTCATTTATCAAAACTAGTCATGATGAAATAGAAAATACTGTTGATGAAAGGAACAGAATTTAAAATAATTTTGACAAATCAGTAAGACAACTAGCTTTATCTTACTGGGTTTGGAACAAAGAACAAAGCAATGTGTAATGTTGTAAAGAGAAAATAAAATTCAAAATACAGAATGAGAAATATTTAGCTAGATGGTGGTGGGGACAGAATTGTCCTAGGGTTACAGTGATTTATACAGTGATGTCCTTCCAAAGAGACATCTCCTAATATAATTCAAAAAATGAGCATGATAAGTAATCCTACAAATTCATCTATTGTGAGTCCTCACAGAGAATTCTGTGCTTCATTTAGGAACGTCATGTCTAGCAAGAAACCAGACAGAATTCTGATTTTTTAATTTTTTAATTTTTTACAAGAAGAAGAGTTTTTAAGAAGAGGATGAGTTTAAGCAAGATGAAGGAAACATGGTAAAAATGTCAGAAGACAAACATTGTTCTTCCAAGTACAAGGGAGAACAAAAAGAAGAAATAATTTTGACAGCAATGGTTAGAGCTGGAGAAGATTTTCAGCAGGGTTGTGAAACAACAGAGGATACTGTTTGAACAAACTAAGAAAATATCATATTGAGAACAAGAGGCAATGAAGTTCTTTCTCAGGGATGATTTAGGAGAAGAAATTCATACTATACGTCTCCTTTGAACTGCTCTTAAATATCTATATTTTCAGAAATGGAGGGAAGAGGAGGGAGAGGCATTACAATAAACATATTAAACAATACTTTTTTTCCAATATAAGGAGGAGAGAGCTACAAAATGTATAATTTTAGGCAAAGTAATTTAATTTTAGAATTCCAGATTAGGAGCATCTGCACTCTAAGGAATCTGTCTTCAGCCAGTATCATTTGCATAATTATAGTGCTAGACAAGGACCACACAGAAGCAAATCTATATTGAATAGCAAAACAGACAAACAGCAATTTGAATCACAGCTTGATTTCCCAAGGCTCTGAGAAACATCAGATAGATATTTTGGCCATGTGCAAAATTGACTGGGGGCAATCTCTTCCTCTTCTCCCAAATACAGGTTCATCATTAGGCAATTCTCACTTTTTTAAGTTACCAATACAAAAAATGAAATCTGAATTGGTTTATATCATAGAAAGTATAACTTCAACACTTGCAGACTATCTTCTATTTGAGTCTTTGCAATTTCATGAAAAATTACCCAGGTTGGCTATAAGAGCCTAATTTAATAGTTTTTTGGATGTGTGGTTTGTTTATTTTTAAATATATTTGTAAAATATTTGACATGACTATCAATACATTTCTGGTTATATATTCTATGAAACTCAAAACCAGGAGGGCTTTAACTCAAACAAAAAAATTACCCTGAGGATTAAAGTATAAGGACAGATAGCTATTCCACTATCTACAGGAGGGATACCCTGTTGTTACCTTAATGTAATGAAAACATTATGAATCAAACAAAAAATGAAACACTGATGAGAAGAGAACAGAGTTCAAAGAAAGAGCATATTTCTCTTGTTCACATGAAGATCTATTGTGTGTTTATAGATGGAGCCATGAAAAACAGACTTGATTTGCTATTTGATTTGGTTTTTTACTAAAACAAGAAGAACTTTCCTACTTTTGGCAGTAAACACCTCAATATCTTGGAAATTACAATGTAAGCCACATATTTTAGAGGATGAAGAGAAAAATCCACGTCAGAGCAGTTATCAGTTACACAGTAAATGGAAAAAAAACCCCTAAAAACAGAGTTTCCATAAAAAGGAAGAATAAGAACATGCTTAGCTAAAATATTCTTGAGAAGTTTAATGTTGCACTATATTTCTTTTATGTATTTTGAGATTTACTGAGATAGTTATCCCTAATTTATTCTAGGATGATCATTTTGCTGTAAATCCTCAAGGGGACACTGCTATTCTACATCAGGTATTTTAGAAAGCTTCCTCGTGTAGACAAGTTTATGGAAGTAACTTGCTCCTGCATTATTACTCTGTCTCCATTTCCCTACCTGTAAAAAGAAAAATATATTTCACTGCATGTATCCTGTTCTGACTCAAACACCCAGAATCATAACCTGTGTCTTTCACCCTAGGACTGCTACTCAGTGATTATCACAAAAATTACTTGACTAGTTTTCAGAGAAGAACAGGATTAGAAAACATCCTTGTAGGCTTTAATGAGTAGGCACATAAATTATTCTTTCCTTATATTCCATAAAGAATACCTTTTTTCTGGATTCAGGCAGAATTCAAAAGCTCAGAACTACTTAGTCTTATCAAGACTTAGGCACTTCTGACTACGCACAAAAGTAGAGCTCTAGGTAACACAGAGAATTAGAAAAATATTCAGGTAATTTATTAAATTATTAATTTAGTTTCTTGTTTATGTACCTCTGTAAACACATAATTAGATTAGTGAAAAAAAATACTTAAAGATTAAGTTCGAAATGGCATTTTTTCAGTATTTTCTCTGGAATTTTATTACTTTCTGAGTAAAATTTTCTGCAATTAAATTAAGTTTTCAGGGTAGGGCTTGCTTTTGAGAAACTGGTAATTCATGTGTCATTCAACATTTCTATCGCTGTGTTTAACTTGGCCTAGTCCAGATTTATCTTTCCAAATTGAATCCAGCTTTTTTACTTGGCAAAATGCTTTCAGTGCTTTATGGCTGCCAAGAGGCTTGCAAGATTTGCCCTTTGGATGGGCATTTCAACTGTGCTCTTTCTGCACAGGGAAGTACTAGCAAGAGGCTGAGCCTGCTCGTTACCAGTGCCCACTGTCAAGAATTGCTAATGAAGCAACCCACAGGTTGCTCTGCTAGGACAGACTAGCAGATATCCATACATCCAGAAAAGACAACGTTGTATCATAAAAAGCCTTCCCAGTTATCTGCTGAGTCAACCTAAATTCAAATTATGTGCCAAAGAGTGCTGACTGCTAAGGACTTCAGTCTCTGGTGAATGGAAACGTGAGCATGCAAGAGCTCTTGGTCCTACTGACATTTGTGTCATAACTTGCAGACAGACAAAGCAGAGATAAACTGGTATCTTCTTCCACTGAGTGCACAGGATGCAAGTTACCATTACTACTTCAAATTTATAGAGTAACGGATGAAGATAATCAGAAATTAATAATGACCGTTCCTTTAAAGACCTTACATACCTGCAAATCATACCATTAAACAATAGCTGGTGAAAATGATGTCATCTGACTGCCCTGTATTCGGATCTGATTTGGCTCCTGAAAACCTAGGAAGAACCAAAGACTTTATGTCAGGAGACACCAGCTGCTGTCTCCTGAGGCCTGTTTCCCCCACACAGTATGGCTGCAATTGGCATCTCTCTAGTTTCCATGCAGTAGAGGTTCACATGATAAAACAGCAGATATGTCACTTTCCTTCTCTTGCTAAGCTTTCTGTGGCATCCTTTCTACCACAATCTTCCAAAGTGACAGCTTCCTTCTTTTCTTGATATCTATATCAAGATATCTATACAGCCTGCAGTCACCACAGACATCCACCTTGACCCAAGAATTGTGCGAAGGTGTAGCAGCTGAGCTGAATATACCCTGCCTTTTAGCTGCTCATCTAGATCAGGTTATCACCCATTTCTTACCTGGCACTAACTTGCAGTCTGCTGACTAAGGGCAGGACCAGAATTTGCTTACATCTGTTTCTTCTTTCATGTTCAAAGTGATACAAGTGACAAGGCTAGTAAGGAAGGCATCCACTTAGGGAACTGGATCCTGGATGTGAAAGAATAATTGTGGATAATGATGTGAAATGAAATTTTTTGGTGTTCACCTTGATGGTGATTTTCATAGTCCCATTGTTTACTTACTTCATAAGCTATAATCAATAATGTACCAAAGTTACTTTCAGAAAAATGCAGGCAGGTGCCTACAACAGAATCTCACCAAACAATACATGCACCAAATTTCAATTAAGATGATACTGTCTCTCAGATGCTTTGCTTCCAAAGTAAAAATTAAAGAATGGAGGCATTTTTCTACTGTATATAGACATGGAGAGTGATCCAAAGACTTTTCATGCTGAGTGGAACTCCCAAAAGCTTCAAGAAGAAATGCAATGCAAAGTGTGATCTGAAGTTTCCCCCTTCTAGAGACAACACTGTGAGCCAAGACTCAATGTATTCAGCTTTCCTACTCTAGAGGCTAATACTTTAGGTACTAGGATACATAAAGCAGCCCTCATTTCCTTGCTGTGATTTTTAAGCTGCCACATCTACCGCTTCGCACAGAATGTTGAGTAGCCTTTATCTGCTCAGTCACGGGTGCTGTACCCATCCCATCTGGAAGCTGGGAACTGCTTGTTTCAAGTGTCTGTAATTCACATAGTGTCAGGCACCTACTTCTTGAGGTAAATGCTATTTTGAGCATACCAGAAGGCAGAACCGCAGCCTGTTAGGGAATATTCAGATTCTACCCAGAAGTACCCAGGAGGCTTAAGCAAACACAGCATTAGAGTTACTAAACATGATTTTTAATTTCAGCTTTGAACTTCACTGTTTGAAGCTGCTCCAAACCACTTGAAGCTAGCTCATGTATTAAAAACACTACATTTTCTTCGAGAAAGTTTGCCAATCTGTAATTATTTATGACAATCTGAAACACTGATAGGAATGCACATGTGAGGTGACCTCTGTGCACAGAGACCAATATTTCAGGATACCATGGTCTGTACATACTAAATTACAAGGCGTGGTTGCCAAACTATGATTTTGTCTAGCTACTCTCCTCCTCTGACAATGTTAACTAGCAGTGAAAATACCCAAACCAACAAAACAAACAGAACACATTGGCAGCTATGTCATTTAACAGTCAGTTAACATGAGATTCTGTTCCAGACAGAGTAGTATTACTTTCAGTTTATACATGCAAGGAAATAAAAAACTTAGAACCTACTTTCCTCATGAATTTTCATTTATTTTATTTTTTTTAATTTAACACTGTTCACCAATATAAGCTTAGCATGTAGTATCTTAAATTAATAAGGAGAAACTGAAAACTTTTAACAGAATTTATCCTAGCAAGTTCCTGTGAATCTTGGCAATTCCCAAGAAGAAACCTATTTGAAACTTGACTAAAACAAGCTCTTTAGAGTGCTAAAACAAATTCAAATACTCTGTAAAAAATCGCTTGAGTGAGGTTTTCTGTTCTATTAATATTTTCTATGCTAGATAGGTAGTTAATCTTGTATACTTGAGCAGTTCAAAAGGGCTTACAAGCATCAGTGTCCCAGTATTTTTCTGCCTATAATCCCACAGTCTCTCAAGGGAAAACAGCAATTTTCAGAAGACAGAGCAGTGCCACACGACTCTATAAGTAATTTTCCCATAACTGTGTACATTGAGACAGAAGAAAAACAAGGAAGTTGGCAGAGTCTCTATAATAAAATATTCCCCAGTAGATAAGAGACACTCACGGTCCTTTTCTGCATTAACTGCCTAGACTGATAGCATCTAACAGAGGAGGATAGAGCCATAAATGTTGGGGACTGCATGCCTCTCGTCACACTACGAGTAGGGAATAGGTGCTGCTGTCAGCAGTACTGAGACACAACCCTTCTTTCCTCTTCCTAGGCTGCCTAGAAATAGGCCTGAGGTATCCTTCAGAGTCAGACTAGGGCCACTGTCTGGAAATTACAGTTCAGTGTTTACATTTAAGATGAAGGAGAAAGGCACAGTAATTGATCTGACCTCATTAGCATGTAAGATATTAGAATAAGCTTAGAATAACAAACATAGAAGTTGATAAAACAGGACAAATCTCCCTGGGGCTCAGAAAAAAAAAGGTGTCCATTTTTTGTTCATCTCTTCACAGCTAGTAGTAACACCAGGCTAACTAATTTACTAGAGCCTTTTACTTTAAGGAGTGGTGCTCCTACCTACTTAGATGTCTAAACTCCATTTCAGTATGGTTCACTCTCCCCTAGCATACACTTAGTTTACAAGATGGTGTTTCGGAAAGCTTAGGCTTCTCCCCAGTTTCTCCCATCTTTTCAAGTTATGAAACCTACTGTTTCTATCAGGGCACTGTGCAAGAATCTTCTAGGGGAAATAAAAGAAAAAAGAAACCAAACCATATACAGTTTTATCCTGCTCACTATAAAGTTTGGGCCTCCATACTTTCCAAATACATCCTCAAATACCTTGTTGTCCTTAGAAAGCAGCAAACTACAAGGTCTCACCTAACTCCAACACAAAGTACACCCTAGGACTTACCTTTCCATCAAGACTTTTTTTGTTAGTTGAATTCTGCAAGTATGCCAGATCCCTCATTTACCATATCCTCCTTCAGATGCAGCCATAAATGCTCATTAAGCTCACAGGTTAACTGTAAAACTTCTCTCTGCCAGTGGAAGATAGCGCAGGATTGGGTTTTCATTCGGCCACATATTGCCTTATGAAGCAAAGACAATTCTAAACAAATCTATTACCTTAAAAAGAAAGGTTTTTGCTGAGAAAAGGAAACAGTAGTACATGTGAACTAGTAGAATTTTTACATGAACTTTGGTACACTGTGTGCTGAGAAATTCTCCGTTTGGCTAAGATATGGATTATTCTGAGAATCATGGAACTACTTAAATGGATAATGGTAAGTTACTTGGAGGGAGAATGCTATTAATATTGGTCTCATTAATATTTCCACTCATGATCTTGATACAAAAAGCAGAAATGTGCTTATGGAATTTCTTGAGATGAGAACATTATACAGTAAAAATCAGCCACCTTGATTACCCATATAACTACTTTGAACTAAAATGCTTAGTACGTTTTTGGGACCAATGAGTGTTTCTGTTTTCACTTTGGAATCTGCTAGCTGAAGACTCGAAAAGAAAGATCTAAGAAACTTAGTGAAGCACAGTAGCAATTTTGCTGTGAAACAGACAAATGCAATCTTCATCAAAAGTGTTTAGTTCAGTAACAGTCATTAATGTGACTGAACAAGGTCTTGCATAAAATTTTAGTAAACTATGATGAAGTAAGATCAAATCAAACTTAGACATCTAGACAAGAACAACAAGAATAAAGAAGGAAAATAGTATTTTATTATATGACAGAAAGCTTTGATTTACTTCAGGAATTGTATGGAAGAGTTAAGAGATGACATTATTGCATTCTAAAACTACATCAAAGAATAAACAGGATAGAAGACAATTTTTTTAGTTACAGATGATATTGACGAGAGAACAACCTTTCCTAAAATGATTCTGTGGCTATATGTAGACTGAAAATTAGGTTTTTAATAGTCAGAAAAAAGATCCATTTGGAACATCCTTCCAGTAGTTCAGCTGGATTCTATATAAAGTTTATTAGTTTGCAAGTGAAATTACATGCTACTGGCTGCAAAAGCATGGAAATAAGCAGACCTTTTCTGTTTTATTCCTCCTATTGTTAGAAAAACAGCAAACATGGTAACGGGCAGAGTTTTGCGATCACTAGGAATTAAAAGAGACTTCAACGTGTCTATTGGTATCAACACTGATGGCTAGCTCTGATAATGTCCTGAGGAAGTCTCAGCCTTGAAAAAACTGAGAATTATTATTTTTTTCACTTCAACAGATTCTGCAGGCTGTGTTAGTAAAAATGGCAACGTCTCTTCTGCATTTTTGACATTCAAAAAAAAATCTATTGTGAATACATAGAGGTATGTTTCAATGAACAGTTAAGAAGTGTGAAAAATACAAATTATGTCAAGGAATTACAGCATGTAGGAGCTTTGAGCCTTCCCACACTCTCATATTCGACTGTGTAAACACGGAGACAATAATTTGGTTGGAATTTGTGCATGCCATTTTTGAATGCCGTTTTTGCCAAGTGGTGGGCTGTCTTGGAGTACAATTACTTTCACAGCCATGCCTCGATGGTTGTTTCCAGTTGAGTTGTTGCCAACTTGAAGGTGTGTTTACAGAGAGCTCTTCTTAAATCCAGTATGTACATTTGTATACATGCTTACACACTGATACGGTATGTCTGGATAAACCACTCCAGATAAACATACAAGAATCAACCAAAGCGTTTCTGTTTACTGTAATAAACCCACTCACATACTTGTAAAAACCTAACTTTGCTGCAGAAACAGGGCTTGCATTTTCCTGATACTCGTCTTTAGGATGGGTTAGGCTCAGCTGTATCCCCTTCATAGCTACCGAGTTCCGTGGCAGAGCACGGATGTTCCCATCTTTGTCTATGCCCGTCCATCGAGGCGCTGCCCCGCCGCAGGCCGAACACGCACTCGGGGCAGGCTGGCCAGGGCCGTGCTGGGTGCCAGCAGGATTCCCGCTCGGGCTGCCCCGGCCCCGGCTCCTCCAGCGGGGACAGGAGCCC